AGCCTAGGCTCTAAACAATCAAATTAGAGACTACCTTCAAATACTACTGAAAAATGTGGTTTTAATATTGGAAATCTTTGTGGTAGCATTAAAACATATTTTTATATTTATTTATAAAGTTTAAAGCTTAAAAAATAGTTTAGATTGACATATTTATGAAATTTGAAAAATCCTGATAATTGACGGTAAAAAAATGTGTTACAAAATACACTATTTTCAAAACTTGAAATCCATTTTTTTTTTCATATCCACGCATCTTGATGTCGAGATGATCGATTTGAAGATATTTGGCATCAAAACAACCTCTTCTAGCAAAATTTTTGATGTAGGCTCAAATTTGATTGTTTAGAGCCTCGGCTCCATATAAAATTTTCCCATATATATAAGGACAAGGCTTCTATGTGTTCTAGGGCTCATCTGTGGATATGTGGCCCCTCTTTTTTATTTTTTTTGTAAATGGAATTTGAACCAAATTGTTTAGATATATATAGTATAGAACATGGAGATCATTAATATGTAAAAATGAAAAGAGTTTAAAAGCAAAAAGATAAGTTTTTGAAGAAAAGTTTTAAACTATAAGCTTTTAGGAATCATGCTATTGCTCGCTACCTACCTTATTAGACGTAATGCCTAAAAAGACATGGATAAAAATAGTGAGAAACGATATGATGACTTTTGGTCTTATTAAAGATATGACACTTGGTAGAGAAAAATAGACAAACAAGATTCATGTAGCTGACCCCAAATCATTGGATTAAAATTTGGATGATGATACCGATGATGAAGATTTTATAATTTTAGAAAGGACCACAACTTTATATCCATCTTAGAGATGGATATTTGATACCTCGGGGGACACAAATGTAGAAATGTGTCCCTTGACTCATAGACTGCCTTTCAATAAGGGATTGTCTACAAAGAGATCATTAATCTTTGGTTGTGGTTTTCATTTAGGTGCACCTCCAAATTTTACCATAACATATAATTTTGGTGTAAAAAATACTTAGGATTATCTTAAAATCTATTTTCATCTCTAATTATAAAATTTAAACTCAAAAGGGTTAAAATCAAGAAGATCTATAAACATATGAAAATCTTGAAAATGCACATTACTTCCATGATACAAGATTAACACCTTATATAAGATTTTTCCTTTTTCTTTTATCATGAAAAGAAAAAATCCATATACCATGAACATGCTGGTAAGCATTACTGAACCAAAAGTTATGTCACAACGATTTGTTTAATTTTGTGACATTGTCTCATGAGAACAGGTTTTGGCTCGTGCATTGGGAGGTTCAACAGGAAGAGCTCCAATTGGATGGGATCTTGGGTTATCCACCGTTAATCTCGAAACTATGAGAATCTACGAGCTGTTCGGGTTAGACCTAACTTCACAAGTAAAAGTTATTGAGATCCATCAAGATCAGGTATCGATTTGTCTATGAACATAAGTACATGAAAAATACGTGAAACCCCGCATTTAAACTTTTGGTCCCATATACACCTTTCGGTCAAATAACTCCTTAACCCTTTTTTGGCCTTTTTCTTTCCCCCAAATTGTCATTATCTTTTTGTATATACTATTCATGTAGAGGAGAGAGCGAAAGGGGTAGAGGAAGAGAGAGAAAGCGGTGGGGGGAGAGAAGGGGAAAGGAATTTGGACTATATGAGAATAAGTGGAATAAGTGAAAAATAAAAGAGCAAGGGAAAAAAACAAAAACATGGGTTAGGTTTTTTTCTTTTTTTTGAAGAAGAAGAGCAAGTGAAAAAGGGTTTTTATTTTTATTTTTTATTTTTTTTTTAAGGATGAAGTTTTTATAGGGCCTATAAAAACAAAATAAAGCCTCATCTGAAAAGCACTTAGGCATATAAATCTTTATGATGGTTCTAAAATCAATTTCAACACCAACAATAAAATTTTAAACTAAAAAAATAGTATAGATCTTGCAAATATGCCAACACTTACTTTAGGGTGAAATAGATGGTCTGGATGCTTTGTTGCAATATACACCTTTTTTGTAACTTGAAATTCTAATTTTTTTCACAACCATAATGTTCAACTTGATAAGATCGATTTAAAAGCTTTTCAACACGAATTGCAATTTTTGATGAGTAATAAGGTGAGACTTTACTTATTTTCATAGGGATGCGGCCTAATCAAACTATTTTTCTTTATTAATTTTTCTTTTTAGGGGGTGTTCCATGGACCCGCTGGTATATATGGGCACCACAAGCTTAGATTAGAACAGATATGTGAACACTTGAAAATGGATGATCCCAATAATGTATTATAGGGCCAGAGAATTTTTTTCTCCCCAAAACTATAAATGATGGGGTCGAGATCATCAATGTCAAGGTTTTCCAGGAACAATCTTTTATGGAGAGATCTGAGGCATTCCTTTGAAACGCTGCAGCCCAAAGCCAACCTTTTCCTATTATACATTTAGTCTTTGTGCAATTGTCTACAAAGAGACTATTTATTTTTTGTACATGTAAGTCATAATCAATCATACTCTTAGACGTCAAATTGGATGGAATGGGATGATACATGAAGTCTAAGTTTTTTTAATTTTTTTTGGAACTGTGTCTATTCAGTGACACTCTTACAACAACCCATTTTGAAATTTAAGAGACAAGGTTGCCTGTCTACAAAAGATAAATGGTCTCTTGATAAACATTCTCTTTTGTAACTACATGGTATTTGTATTCACATTTCTTTAATGTATTTTATTATTATTTTTTAACAATAATACCCATGAAAATGAGGAAATAATGCCTCTTGCAAATCACTTTTCTACTCTTAAATTGACAAAATATTTTATTTTCTTTTCCTTTCCTTCTTTTAGTTCCATTTTTTTTTAAAAGTTAGAAGTTCATAAATATTTAAATAAATGCATATTTCCTCATAAACAAATATTGGGTATCTTAATTATGCATTTATCATGTAGTTATAGTGCATAAGGTATTTCTATGTAAATTTTCCGCATTTCGTTGTAGCTTGTGATCCTAAAAGTTTGCAAAGTTGCTTTTCAGGTGAAGCGCCTTCCTCCTGATGCTTTGATTCTTGGATCTTCTCATAAAACAAGGGTAGAGATGTTTTCAATTGGAGACCATGTTCTTGGTATCCAATCCCATCCTGAGCTTACAAAGGCATTTGTAAGAGACAGAACAAGTGATCTCCTTGTACGGAACGAAATTAGTGTATGCCATTCAAATCTCTCTCTCTCCCCTTTCTTTATTGTATGGTTATCCAAAAAAATGTCTGCCTCTTTTCCAATGCTAGGACTTGAACCATCATTAACTCGATTTTTTGGAATTCAAACTAGCAATTATGAGCATAAAATTGTATATCTGATATAATTTTCCCTATTTTATGAAAGGGTTCAGTTTATATAAGACTTCAATCTTAAACAATATGAGTAATGCCCACCACCAAACACTGCAGAAGATGCAATTTTCGTACCAAAAACCCTGATGAGAGCTTGAAAATTTATTTTTACTCTTAATTATAAATTTTAAAACTCTAAAAACAGTGCAGATCAAACAAATAAATAAACACTGGCAAATTTTTAAAATAGACCATCTAGATAATGTGTTACAAAGGCGTACTATTTTTAAGAACTTAAAATCCATTTTCTTCAATTTCATACATCTTGAGTTTGAGATGACCAATTAGATGGTTTTCTATTATGAAAACAACCTTTGTGGGGTTTTTGAGATGTCGCATAAGATTGATGCCTCGTATAATCTTTTTCCATTATGGAATACTTCTGAAACAAAAGGAACTATGGCTTGTGTTGAGCCAGTGACTTCAAAAATGGAGTGGTAAATCTAGGCTGCACCACCCAATTATCTAAGGGAAAGCCTCTGTTCCATTTTCTTTCTCAAGCGTTGCTACTTATTTTGTTGAAGGCATGATACATAGTATTTCTTAAGTTAACTCACCCAATTGAGAGATTTATCAAAAGACATCCTATTTATTAACCATTTAACATTTAACCCTTTTCCAACCATTCCAACTTGCTGATCACGTATTTTTGACAGGCTTTTTGAAATCCAATCAAAACCTATGGTAAAATTTTAAGCGATTCATCTGTTACATACATTTTGATAAATTCCCCTTCATAAATTATCTATCTTTTTTTCTCAATGTACAACCCACAAAAGTTGAAATCAATTCTTTTATATGAGCAATGAGAATTTTTTTCTAAGTGATTTTTTTTCTATGTTAATTCTTAAATTGCTACACTTGATTCTTCCATCTCCTCTCTTGAATGGTGTGGTGGCTCCTTTTGATCACTTGTCTACAAAACCTGTGCAGGCTGAATTTGCAAAGGAAACTATCCAAAGTATTGAACAAGGGGAATTGGACCAAGTTGTGATGAAAAAGTTGTGCAAGACCTTCTTGAAAGGGCATTCATAAGATGGTCACTCAGTGGTATCTTTTTTAGGTAGTTTAGTGGTAGGAATTGAACTTGAGCATCAAGTGTGTAAAATAAAATGCTTGTCATATGCTACTTGTTTTCAAATTTCAAACAATGGGTGCTTATGATCATTTGAGGATGATCATTTCAACTTTGTATGTTTTTCATATTTTTAAAGTACAAGGGAGTTCCTGAAACTGGGGCACAACTTTCGTTCTGTAGAAGTGGTGGTGTTTTGCTGAAATGCCATTATGTAGAGGGTACTTTCCATCATTTATTGTTTTCATGGTTGCGATTTCTATAAGGTGCCAACCTTAAACAATCAAAGTAAGGCGTATCTCTAACTCTTGTTAGATGACGTAGTTTTGATGTCGATAACCGTACATCATCATCATCAGAGTCTTTTCTCAATTATTTGGGGTTGGCTAAATACGTCGCTTATGAGAAGCATCCTAGCATAAGCAGATAACATAGATTCAAGATTCAATAAAATTTTGGGCAAAATTTAGGTTATCTACCCACCTAACAAAACTAACCTCCTTTACCCGGGCTTGAAACAGGTATAGGGAATGTTTGAGGTCCCCACCTTTTTAGATGATGTTGATGACCTACAAGAGCCTAAACATCTTTTTCCACCTCTAATTCTAAAATTTAAAGCTCCAAGGATGATGCTGATAGGACATGTTTATAAATCTACTTGAAAATGTTGAAAATAGACTATTCAAATAAGGCAAAAGATATTCTAGTCCCTCGAGAATGGAATACACATTTACTCCCTCAGATAAAATCTTACTTAGTAATAATTTCAGGAACCTAAATTTTAGGGATGTAACTTATTCAACCCATAGATTAACCTCAATAAATAATAATAAAAAAAAAGTAATTGTACCCTCTGTGCATTTGAAAAACATAAAGTCTCAAGATTGAATAGAGGCCATCCGCTTTTTAAATAGTGAGATCTAAGTGTTAGAAAACTCAAATTGCAATTTTTTTTAGAATAAGCATCTAGTAATTCTTATGTAATTCCCAAAATATTTCAGATTTTAAAAAATTCTCAAGCAGGTCTTCTAACCGAGGGAGTAGAAATAAACTATGCTCTCGAGGGAGCATAATATTCGTGCCCGTCAAATAATGTGTTACAAGATGCACTACTCTTACAACTTGAAATTGTTTATATATATATATATATATATAACCACCCTTTACAATTGGTTTTTATGGCGTGCCTTACTTTTATATATAAAGGTGATGCTTTATATAAATTTTTTCTTTTATTGTCTTTATTCATGTGAAGGAATGTAAATGGTACATGTCTGCTTCTCTGGGGAACTTTCAGACGCACCATCTACTGGTTTCTACTTTCACAAGAGATTGACATAGCATCTCTCTCTCTTTCCCTTGAATAGTTTTCTTTGAGAAGGGCGATATATTATGTTAGTGCCTGTTTCTTACTTTCAGTAGTTTCCTCTCTTGAATACTTTTCTTTAAGAAGTTATTTAAGGAGCGATGTAAGTTGATGCTTTGTAGATTATAAATTGTAAGGTGGACGTTTCCTTTGCTCCATTGTTCAGAATGCCATGTGAATAATTCCTCAGCCCAATGTCCGCTTCCAAAAATAGTGTTGTTCATCACAATTGTTTGTGACAAAAGATGGTGGAGGTGATGTGCAATTTATCATAATTATCAAGACCACGTTGTACCACCCTATCAGACCAGTCAGATTTTTGGTCGGTGTCTTAGCTAATCAGGTTTAAAGCAAAATCCTGGTTTGGTCAGAAGTAGGTTAAAATATGTTGAACAAAGTTGAGACACTCTTTTCTAATATATTTGTAGAAACCCAGTTTGAATTTGACTTGTGAAAGAAAGACTAATGCGATATTGTTGGGGAAAGTATTTTTCTTTATTTTTTTTCTTTTCACTAATTTTTGTTTTCTTTTTTTTTTTCTTTTGGCAAAGATCAATAACAAGTAGTCTTATTACAATAGTTTTTGCTTCCAAGAAAATAAAACTAACAAATTCAAGATCTTAAAACCCTTGATGCCATTAAACCAATTTTCTTTAAACAAAGAAAATATCAACAATTCTTATGCTTGGGAATATAAAGACAATATAATTAAATATGAAAAGAAACAAAAATAGAGTCAATCATAAAATAGCACAAGTCGACTCAATCTTTCCACAAAATCTTTCAAAGATATATCAAGTCAATATTTAGTTAATATATTCCAACTATATGGCTACATGCCATATTACCACAAAAATAAGAAAGAGAATAAGGGTGGGGTGTGCCACCCATGGGAGGCACTCACGGGCCCCACCTTCTAGAAATATGGTAGCCCTATGTGCACAATAGACCCTCATGATATTTTTATATATTTAAAATTAATAAAAAGATTTTAAAATATTATTTAAATATTTAAAACATTGCAAAATCAATATATTTAATTTTATAAATCTAAAAATTATAAATAAAATATCCAAGTGTTCACAAAAATTCAAATAATAATTCTAAAATAATTTTCATCATAAAACAAATTCAATTAAATTAATTTGATGGAAAAATGATATGTATAGTTTAATAATTAAATCAACAATGATGGGGGCACTTCACCTTCAACTGTGGACTACAGACTACATTTGCTTTATCAGACCGACCCAGTATTTCTCATGACCCACAGTTCAAGCATGGGCTCATTAGCGAGTCATCAAAGTTTGGCCGATGAGCCAATGGGTTGCAATCCAAGTATGTGGATTTCAGGTCCTCCCCTAGAGACGAGTCAATGTCACCTAGATCTGATGCGACCACAGCTCCTATAGAGGTATCTTTCGCACATGCATATGCTTCACCCTGAAAAGTAGCTTACTTGCTTTCCTGAATGATCTATCAATTTTCATGCCGTGTGATGGCAGATTGATGAGGCTTTGGTCCCCGTCACTGTAGGCCACCATCACACACAAGGATCACACAGTCCCTCGGTTTGTTCTCTATGCCCAGGTAACATGGGTTTTCCCAGTCGACTGGCCCAGATCGTCATGTACAGTTCAGCATCAGCAAACATCGTTTTCTTAGTTTGGTCCACGAGGGACCACACACCCATTGAGTTCATGTTCCACTATATTATTTCATTTTACAAGCACTTATAAGGCCTTTAAAGGTCACATAAACCCAACAACTTGTATTCTTAATTCCTAGTACCTTAAAAATCCAAGCCAGATTCATAGGGACCATATTGGCTTAGTACACCATGACCCGTACTACTAGAATCTCAAGAAAGTCTCAAATCGGACCCCAAACTGAGCTAAATCTAAATCAGACTTGCATTAGGACATAATGAAGCAGAGCTTTCATAGTCCGAAAAGAAACTAAGGTAGAAAGGGATCAACGACGTGATACGCATCGCAAGGTCCAGAGGACCCAACAATGTGGGGCACATCAGTCTTATGAAAATTTCCAAAAAAAATTGGGATTCTGGTGATCGAAGTTTTTGGAATTTTTTGGAGGTTGTTTGACCTTGGATTTGTCCCCAGTCTAAACCCTGCAATCTTAATCCTAATAGATTTGGAACTCTTGAGACAAGTCTAGACTCCTAATCCTAATCATAATAGGACTCCTAATCCCAAATTGATTAGTCCCTAACCAAGAGCCTATCTAACCCCCCAACCTCCCCTAATTCATCATCCAAATTTTATAGAAAAATCTTATGAAAATTACTAAAAAAACCCATAAGTTAGAACAAACCCTAGGAACCTAGAGACCTAGAACTAAGAAACATTAACCAATTCTCTACACTATTCAAAACCCTAATTCCAAAATCATAATCCTTAAGATGAATATGCCTTAAGTATTGAAAACCTTTGGATGAATATATCCTAGGTAATGTTTTTAAGAAAATAGAAGGATAGTGGAGTAAACAACCCACGCTCTAATGAGGGCTCCAACTCCTAGTTCTGGGTATCTTGGGGCAATCAGCTTAGTCAGGTAAGTTTTCTTTCCTCTTTAATTTAGTTTAGCTTTAGTTTATTTTCCTTCTTCTTTTTTTTTTTCTTTCTTTCTTTGTTTTCTTGGTTTCTTTTGGCTTTTGGGTGATTTCAAATTGGCTCAGCCTGCGATTTTCAAAAAGGGTTGGTCTTTCGAGATCAAGATATATTTTTGAACTGTAATTCAATGGACCCCACGATTCCCTATCAAAATTTAATTTATTAAGATCATAGCATAAATTTAGGGAGGTTCACCTGAGATTTCTTCAAATTTGCATCATAAAAAGTTGTGCCCTCGATGGGGTATGCCAAGCTTGAAGGGCATGCAAAATCTATCAGAAAACGACCACGAAATCCATTTCAAGGCCAATTTTTGACAAATCACATAACCAGTTAAAGTGCAAAAAAATTGACCTCCAAAAAGGCTAAAAAACTAACGCGAGTTCTATCACGGTGCAAAGTATGTTGTCAGCCTGCTCTGGGCCTTCCAGACTATTAGGACCTTATATGACTTAGACTCAGTTAAATCTTTGGAAGATATTGAGATGTTTCAATGTTTGGTTGGTCGACTTACATATCTCATTGTCACTACCCCAACGACCCAGACTAAGTCGATCTGAAGGTCACAACCTCATTTCGTATTTTAATTTTAATTTTTTTTATATAAATCCAAATCACATGAATTTTAGGTGTCTATTCTTCTCATCAATGCTCACTTAATAAAAATATTAAAAAAATAATTCACAAAACTAAATCGATCAAAATACCCCTAAAAGATTTAAGACGTATTTTAGTCAATTTATTTTCTGCAACTTATTTATTTGGTATTTTTATTGGATTCTCCAATTTTTAAATAATACAATCCTAAATTTTAAGTGATTTGGATTTGTATAAAAGACACTAAAATTCAAATACGAAATGAGGTCGTCACCGTAGAATTGACCCAGATTCAATATGAGTGGTTGGGCTCATATGTAGCTGTGAGCTAGTGGTCTAATCTCATCATTTCTTATATATATATATATATATATATATATATATATATAAGTAA